AACATACGACTGAGCGGTCTATCTTTTTTCCTACCTATTGCTAATAACCTCGAGGGGTTATGTTAGCTTCATTGACCGTGAGCACTCTATTGTAGTCTATCTACGGTGCGTCAATACAATATTGATATTATTACGTAGACAGCGAACAGTTCATTGTTGGTGTAAATTAATCTCAACGTTCTACTAATGCTATAATTAATCGAACTAGTTGGGAGCAGATCGTTTAGTTGATGTGACCGTTATAGCGTAGGTATAATAGAATGAAAGAGTTGGAAGTTCGCCGCTCGACTAATCATCTCCGAGTTCGTACCGTGATCTGGTGGTCGGTCAGTGCCCCCGACGGATCCGTGGCGGCACACTCCGCGGCTGCAGCACTCAACACAACACTACAACGGTTATGTCGATGATCACACACTTGACACTCGCGGAAGCTTTCGCGGTACACAACGTCCGAATGCGTCGGCGATGCGACTCAAATTACCGTCCCGCCCGCCACGGCAAGAACACTGAGTGAGACTGACACTGGATTGCCGCGCCGCTCGCTCGTGCGTGGCCGCCGCGTCTGCCCGCGCCCGCCCGGCTCGTTCCGCTCGGGGAGGGGTGACGTGCGGGGAGGAGAGGGGTGGCGGGGTGCCGGGGGCGACGCACAGCTGATAGCGCCGCGCCCACCCAGGATACCTGGAACTGGTTCCTTTGGCTACTCTCCAGGTAGCTACTTTAATTCTTACAACGCTATCACACCGTTCAATTTTATATGCTACGTTTGTCACACGCTTGCCGAGGCTTGGTCAACGTCCACAAACACAAGCGTGGGTGACTTTGACGAGGTGCTTGGTTTGGCATGCGAGAGCTTGTCGCCGATCCGATAATGTCGGTATATGAACACCGAACAAAGAAATACGTACATATTTATACATTGGCGCGCGGTTATTGTACCATTTGCATTTCTATGGATTTTTAATATCCATCATCTTCTCCGCCGAACTTTTCGCTTTTTTTTGTTTTTCTCTGTACTACAGATGAAAATATGTCGATTCAGACGCCGACACAGCTTCCACGTTCACGTCTGCCATGTTCGCCTGCACAAGTGTACAGCTCGTCTGACCGGACCACACTTACCACACTTGTACTCGCAAGCTTGTACCTATACTTGTATAGCATCCATGCGTTTGTAGAGTGGAGTTTGTGAGCATTTGCCATTTGCAGTGTAAAGAACGACACGGTACATGTTTATTTAATTAACTGTCTACCGCAATGACTCCATACAAGACAACTACAATAATACACAATACGTGTGCAGACTTGACGCTGGCGTTACGCGTATTAAATAAAACTTTATTTGGATGTCATAAAATGTGTACGTATATTTACATACATCCATTTATAAGAATAATCGGAGCAAGTTCAACGCTTCTTAAAAAAGAATTGTTAAAAGTGATGCTTGTTGGAGAGGACATCAATCACCATGACTCACGCCCTCTCTAGAATTGTACCAATATAGTGCCTCATAATCAGAACTACTGATATCTAACCTCTTTTCCAAGAAAGTGAATCCGAAACGAGATAGTGAAATCACCGGGCATGCAGAAAACAAAACAATGTTAAAAAGGATAATGAACCAAAAGTGGAACATTGACGTCGACGACCTGCTCGACGCTCGACTTTGAAGTCGTCGCAGCCTAAAGGATAACACGTCCGGTGCATTCGTGTTGAGCGATGCAGACACCGGAAGGAATAACATTGTGTAATAAAATCAAACCCGTAAAAATTATAATTTGCGTAATTACTGGTGGTAGGATCTCTTGTGAGTCCGAAGGGTAGGTACCACCACCCCGCCTATTTCTGCCGTGAAGCAGTAATGCGTTTCGGTTTGAAGGGCGGGGCAGCCGTCGTAACTATACTTGAGACCTTAGAACTTATATCTCAAGGTGGGTGGCGCATTTAAGTTATAGATATCTATGGGCTCCAGTAACCACTTAACACCTGGTGGGCTGTGAGCTCGTCCATCCATCTAAGCATTAAAAAAAACGCGAGACAACCAGGCTGCAGAGAGGGAGAGAGTCGCTGAGGGCGAAAACATTAATTTTTTTTTTTTTTTTTTAATATTTACTAACAATCACGCCACTTTAACTGGTCCCGTGATAAGTTCGTAAAGAACTTGTGTTACAGGTACCAGATAACGGAAATAAATGTAAGATTTTTATTATACACATACATATATTTAATATACATCCATAACCCTGGAAAAGACATTTATATTTATCATACAAATATCTTCCCTTGGCGGGATTCGAACCCGCGACCCCTTTGTGTAGTGACCATGTCACTTACCANAGAACTTGTGTTACAGGTACCAGATAACGGAAATAAATGTAAGATTTTTATTATACACATACATATATTTAATATACATCCATAACCCTGGAAAAGACATTTATATTTATCATACAAATATCTTCCCTTGGCGGGATTCGAACCCGCGACCCCTTTGTGTAGTGACCATGTCACTTACCACTACACCAAACGGCCGTTAAACATTACGTAGGTACATTATGAATCGTACCTTATTATTTTTATTTACATTAATGCTAAATTTTAAATATTTCACAAAAATGTTCCCAAAACTGTCTCCTCAAACGAATGGAAATTATATTAAGATGAAGATAAAAATTAAATAATTTACAACGTGAATGGATGATTGACAATTTCTCATGCGATTCGACTATTTCACACAAAGTAGTAGCTAACAATGCAGGTGCCACTTTAACTGTATGTTCAGGGGCGTGTTCCGGGCCGGTGTGAAGGACAAGGATGTCGAGACTTCGGTCTCAGGTACATGATATGTCCTCATGAAGCGTTACATAAACCTACAAAAAGTGTTTGTTTAGAAGTATATACTTCACAGCACACGAGATGCGTCTCCAAAATCTGCGAACGTTCAGTCCCACACGCCCCGGGCGCCCCCTAGGCGCGAGGACCTCGCAGGAGGCTCGGCCGCCGGCTTCAACTCACTTTATTCATTCGCTTGGCGTTGTGTTCTGAGCTCCAGTGACTTCACTAAGAATGGTTCCTCGCTACGGGTGCCTTTATTCTTTATCATGCTATCTTTACAATAACTATCACAATGTAGACATTTCTGAGACTTCTTCTGAAATATGCTCATTGCTATTGTTTGGCAGGCGAACTCAAGACGAGAACAGGGGTCGATTCCGTACTTTAGCGCGCTGCACGACAGCGGTCCCGGGGAGCGGCTGTGGAAGTGCGACCGGGCGGCGGTGCACCAGGTCCCGAGCCGGCACGCTGGTTCTGGTGCAGCTGGGTATTCCGGGATAGCAGTGGCACCGGGCGAGCTGGGACCTGGACCTGCCATATTAAGACCGGCAACTTGGAGTCGTCGACCATCACCTCGACGACTCGTCCGTCGGGCGTCTTTCGGGAGAGGTGCGTGCCTGCCTTGGCCAGGTTCTGTTTCGGGCGGTAATCGGGAGTCGTCGACAGTACAGGGGATCGTTTAGTGGTTGGGCCGCGCGCTCCCCAGGCGCGGGAGCCTCGTAAGAGGTTCGGCCCCCTAACCGAAACATCCGAAGGCACACCTGGTGGTAAGTACCTACCTGAGACCATAGATATCATAGATATCACAATGTGAACGCCACAAACCACCAGAAACCACCCCGCCACTTGAGGTCTAAGCCCCAACTGGATAGTGTAAAGCAGTCCCACCCTTCAAATCCGAACACATTACTGTTTCGCGGCCAGAATGAGCTGTTTATCCAGTTTCAGATATTGAACTTTAAAGAAACGACCGTGACTTGCATCGCCAGAACTACAGTTGTTTCACTCAAGGGAAATCGGATTCGGATATCATAATGTGCATAATATTTATCGCATTATTATGCTTATATCGCACGGAATATAAATTAAATTTGCAAAGACGTATCAACAGCGTCACGTAAATAGAGTGTGCAAAAGGCAGAGTGCACCGCGGCGGCGGCACGTTGCGGGCTCCGGAGAGCCAAGAGGAAGCGCTAGATACTCACGTTGCTTCTGAACTTGAAGAACAGCGACATGAGCGCGGCCGGTTCCGACAATAACCCTGCGCGCCCCACGCCCGCACTACCCTAGCACTGGACCCGCCCCACGCCCGCACTACGCCAGGCCTCTGCGACAACCCTGGGATGGCAGCCAACGACACCACTGCGATTCGATCACATCAGAATTACAAAAAATGTTTCAACGCTTAGAACAATATTACGAGTATGTACATAGATAAACAAGGCTAAATCGCAAAAGTTAATGAAATTAAAATTGTGACAATTTAGTTCTTCATTATAATATGAAGATCGCGTGACTCGATTGTTAGAGCAATCCGAAGTCTGTAACTAGGGATGGCAATTCTTTCCGAAAAGAATCGATCTTCATTTAAATGTGAATCGAAATCTGAAGAATCGATACACAGTATAATCGAGATCGAAAAGAATTTCTACCATCTTTATTCGATTTGAACGAGCTTTTATTTATTGATATAAAATGAAATACCAGTGAATAACTTGTGTCACACAAGAGAGATTCAAAAAGAAGCAATACTTATGTAATTTCAACGAACGTACCTATTACTAGCCCATAGACTAACTAAAGAACATAATTGACACAAGAGAGATTCAAAAAGAAGCAATACTTATGTAATTTCAACGAACGTACCTATTACTAGCCCATAGACTAACTAAAGAACATAATTGACATTAAACAAACTGAAGCCGTGTATCGAGTTCGTGATTAATTAAGTGAACAATGTTTCACATGTTTTTACATGTATATTTAATTAATCACTAATTATAAGCCAATTGATTTAATGTCCCATTCTCAATTAAATATACTACATACATATACAATTTACCACAAAAACACAACACACCACATATTATTATGTACATATACAATTTTCGGTTAAAACTTCGATTCTTCGATTAATCGACCTCAGCCCTACCCGCACTCAAAGTCAAGGGATCAATCATTTCGGGGGCGGGGAGAGTCGATCAGAGTGCGCAGCCGCGACGCTATCGAGCGGGGCTGGGAACAGATAGCGCCGCCATCACACGTACTTATTCTGCATACATTAATTAGTTCTTGCACCGGCTGACACTCGGGCTCTATGGACGAAGTGACCGGCGGAGGAGCCTGTCCGTCGACGAGAATCGCGTTCGTGAGCTTACAGTGAGAGCATGGAGAGTCGCGCGTGGGTGTGGTGGCTGGGAGTGGCGGCGCTGGCGAGCGCGCGCGAGCTGGACCCGGCCGCCTGCGTGGCGCGCTTCGACGTGCAGCGAGACAAGATCATCCGCACCGAGGAGTCCCGCGAGATGGGCGCCCGCTACCTCTCCGAGCTTGACGTGGGCACGAGAGCGGAATGCCTGCGACTCTGCTGTGAAACTGAAGCCTGCGACGTCTTCGTCTATGAGGAAAAGGTATGGACGGGTGTAATGCGGGGCCTGTTATCTAAACAACGTACGCAGCTTGCAACCTCCGCTCGCTGCCCTAACGAGAGAGTCGGCTCGTGCGTCCAGAGTGGCGACGTGTGCGCGCGGGCCACAGGTCCAGGGACACCGCGTTATCGCGCGTCGCTTGTGGTTCCAGTTTTAAAATTTAAACGTAAAAAATCCTACATTTTAAATTATATTGTATATCATCCCAGAGACAGACGTGCCAAATTCTGTAACACTTAGTAACACGCACTGGTGTGGGTCCAGGGTCCCGGCAGCTGCTACTTGTTCAAGTGTGGACCGCCCGAAGACTTCCGCTGCAAGTTCACGGCTCACAGTAACTTCAGTAGCGGAGTGCTGGCGCTGAGTCGCCGCCTGGCCGAGCTGCAGGACCAGGAGCAACGCGCCCACCACGAGCGGGAACTCGCCAACCTCAGGTATCACTCAGAGCTACACGGAATAATCATCACCTGTGCCATCGCCTTACGGTGTACTTTGAAGATACAGAGGAGGTGAGATAGGAATCGTTTCGGTGTATCTTCACAGTCACATTGATATTAATTAATCTAATAAGTCTAATGGTAATAGTCACATGTTGGGAACGCGCTACAGGAGCGGGCCGGGCACCGCCGCGAGCACCAGCACGACGCCCGCGCCGCCGCCCCCGCCCCCGCCCCGCACGAACTTACCTCTCCAGTCTCCGGCCCCCACGCGTGAGTACCTACACCCTCGCTAGGAGTAATAGTATTCTGTTACCTACACATATCAGACGTTTCAGTACTCTGTGCCAGGAACTGAGCCGCTAAGGTCGTAGTTTAATGGTCTGAAGTTATTAAAGATCTCAGAAATAATCAACTCATTATTTATTGAATGGAAGTGACCAGGAGACGCGCCTCCTTTACATTTTTTTTTTATTGCTTAGATGTGTGGATGAGCTCACAGCCCACCCGGTGTTAAGTGGTTACTGGAGCCCATAGACATCCACAACGTAAATGCGCCACACACCCTGAGATATAGTTCTAAGGTCTCAGTATAGTCACAACGGCTGCCCCACCCTTCAAACCGAAACGCATTACTGCTTCATGGCAGAAATAAGCGGGGCGGTGGTACCTACCCGTGCGGACTCACAAGAGGTCCTACCACCAGTAATTACACAAATTATAATTTTGCGGGTTTGATTTTTATTGCACGATGTTATTCCTTGTCCTGTCAGGACAGAGCTCACAGAGCTCACAAACGAATCTAATTAAGCCATAAGCTATCCTTTGCAGCGGGTCGATGCCGCTGGAACCAGTTCGAGTGTCGTCGCGGCGGGGAGTGCGTCGCGGTGTACAACGCGTGCGACGGCGTGCCGCAGTGCGCCGACGGCAGCGACGAGCCGCCCCAGCTGTCGTGTCCATCCCCCCCAACCGCCCCCTCCGCCCTCCCCATCACCACCGTGCCGACCACCACGCGGCACGCACCACCGATGCAGGTATGACATAAACCAGAGTCTACTGGGTGATATTTATCCATTGTCTTAAATTACGATTCAATTTTATTGATTGGTTTTTATTCTAACGTCATTTGCTCACCGTGACAGTCACTTGTGTATAATAATATGAGTTAAGTAGAGACTTATTTCACTGTAGTAGGTACGAGATCTAGAGGAATAGCTTTGAAAACGCGTACGTCTGGCAACCGTCCTTGTTTGATGCGCTAGTACTAGTTAACTCTGTTTCACTTTACCTTTCACGCACCTTGCATCTAACTATACAACAGCTAACAACTCCCGTTATTTTGCCTACTTTTTGGTAGTAGCCTCGAGACGTTAAGCTAGCTTCACCGAACGTGCTGACAACCCCTAATTGCGACCACATTTACATCGGCAAAAGTATCGTGCACAAACTAGCTTAAAAAGAAATATAAATAATTATTATACGTTATAAACGTTTGATAATAACGACAAAGGGAAGGTCTTCTACCGAGCGGCTGATATTGCTCGGTAGACTGACGGTCCGAATGTTCTTAATAACTAATTGTTCGGAATTTTTATAAACAATGTATGTAAGCTTATCTTGAAAATGTCGTAAGCGAGATTCAGACATTTGTCAAATATTTTGTTCTATGATAGCTACCGCCACACATGTAACAAAGTATTAGGTACCTATTTACACCTGTTTGAGAGGAGGTCAAGGGGCAGTCGCACCGCCGGGCCCACGACGACCTCTGTATCATAAGAGCAGCTGGATCGTACGTTGCCTCTGTTGTACAGTTGGATTACAGCGTATAATTAAGAGACTCCGAGATCAAGTTGCAAAGTGGGTATCCAGGCTGTGACGTCTATGTGTTCCGTTGAAGGCCAAGCGGGTCGTGAGTTTGTCGGAACATCTAGGGAAATCGTTCCTACAATTTGCGTTCCTACAATTTGGTTATGAATCGCTCCACTGTAAACTTCCAGGACAGCATGGACCTGAGCGTGGGCAGCGACAGTCTCGTGGACGGAGACCGGTGGCCGCACCGGCTGACGCAGGCTCAGCCGCCACACAGATACACGGGTACTGGTCAGTTATATGTTGAACTGTTATGCCTACTCAATACATTTACCGTTACTGCCGTGAAGCAGTAAATGCGTTTCAGTTTGAAGAGCGGGGCAGCCGTTGTAACTATACTGAGACCTTAGAATTTATCTCAAGGTGGGTGGCGCATTTACGTTGTAGATGTGTATGGGCTCCAGTAACCACTTAACATCAGGCTGTGAGCTCGTCCACCCATCAAAGCAATAAAAAAAAACTTCAAATAATGAAAATTCCTGTAGTTAATGTAGTAAATGACACCGTGCTACATTGATTCTATATTAAATTCTACAGCACTAGGCTTAACTAAACATTTAATTCATTTAGAGTCGATCATTTGCAGAGTCCGGTCCGAGCTCTCATATCTTCAGTCACAAGGGCGGGTTGCTTCAGGAGCCGAGCGGCGACGCCCAGTTCCCCGCCTTCGAGCCCCCCTGGCAGCGACGGCCTTGGGGATCGCAAGCCGGTAGACGCAAACACCTACACTTACACAATCAGATAATACACACATTGTGCTCTATAAGGAAGGTTTCTTGGAGTGGAATATCGAACCGAAGTCCAATATTTGCTTAACGAGCAGTTCGTCCAGTCGTTGGGCCGCCGCGCCAGTGGTATACCACTCGCGCTCAACAGTACAGATCGTTCACCGAAGATGTCCCCTGCCGTGATGTTGGCACTATTACTTGTCACTTTTGTCAATCTGTTGTTGTCAGATTGTCTGTTGTGACGTGTGCGTTTAGTTTTTGTGTTAATATTTAATATCCTTCAAATTAATCATGTCAAAGCCATTTAAAAGCAGTGCAAGAGAGATTGTGTTGAAGGTTCGTGCCTTTTGTGAGAGAGAAAAGGCAAACGAAGCCCCGTTAATTAGACTCGATCAAGTGCGAGCACGAGTCGCCGCAATGACAGGTTAGTAAAATGGGGATACAAGCTTCAGACATAATGCCTTTAGTATGGGTAATAAGAATTTACTGACAAAGAATTAAAATAAAAAAGTACACATCTCAGTGAATTTAATTTATTTCGATAATACGGTCATTACTTGAGTTTATATAAATATTAAATTTTATAAAAGGATACAAATTTTATGTGTCTATTTCAGGCATGTCGGAGAAAACCGTGAGTAGAATAACTAAAAAAGGTGAAGTTGCTGCCTCTACGTCTCAAGAACTCAAGTCTCCTGGAAAACACCGTCAAAAACGTAAAACGGTGGATCTTGATGATTTCGATTTATGCGCATTAAGAAATAAAATCCATGAAATGTATACTGTCAGAAAAGTTGTTCCTACCTTGAATAAATTACTTATTGAATTAAGGAATGATATAAACTTTGGTGGAGGTCGAACTACTTTGTGGAAAATTTTAAAACGAATCGAATTTAAATACAAAAATTGTGGTTCGAAGCGGAAAATTTTAATGGAAAGACACGACATAGTTACATGGAGACGCAAGTATATCGATACTATGAGACAAAATCGTGTAGAAGGTCGGCCAATAGTTTTCTTAGATGAAACATACATTCACGCATCAAATGCAGTGCAAAAATGTTGGCAAAAAGGTGACGAGGACGGAGTACTAACAAGTGATTCTCCTGGAACGCGATGGATTATTGTTAATGCAGGTGGAGAAATGGGGTTCGTTTCGAATGCTCAATTGATTTTTAAATCACAGAGTAAATCAGGGGACTACCATGACGATATAAATAGAACAAATTTTATGAAATGTCTTTCAGAGAAACTTATACCCAATTTGCCTCCAAACTCGTTAGTCGTCATGGATAATGCTCCCTATCATACAGTACAAGTGAATAAAGCACCTACTATGAGTTCCTCAAAAGTCCAAATGCAAGAATGGATTACAAATAAGGAATTATCTTATTTACCGACAATGTTGAAAGCAGAGCTTTATCAAATTATAAAAAAGCACAAAGAAGCGCCCATTTATGAGGCTGACCAATTATTGATAAGTCATGGCCATAAAGTGTTTAGGTTGCCCCACTATCACTGTGACTTAAATGTTATTGAGTTTATGTGGAGTCTTTTAAAGAGACGAGTAGCTAGCAATAATCCAGTGTACAATATAATAATGCGTTTAGGATGATGTTGTCACTGCCGCGCTTTTGTAGTGCATCCACAATGTTTGCGACATCTCACACCGATGACTTCTTTGCAATAATGCGGAAGAGAAGTGCATCGTTATTGCGTCGAGTTCGTGACAGTGGCAACAGTCTTTTAAGAATCATATCGAGCAAGATCGAGGGACTGCTGATCAATA